ATCTTTCTCAGTCTCCATGGTAAAGTGGATATTGCTGTGCAGCAACATAACTCCATTTCCCCCCCTCATCCTATGGTTCTGAATGGCCAATCCCCTTGGTCTGATCAATCTCCTACCCCTATATAAATCATCTAATTCCCAACTCTCCTCACTTTAGCCCCAGAAATAGAGGCAGTATGTCCATATTAAACATTGGCACACACAATACATCACACAGCAGCCAAAAAGATCGTCAATACTCATATCCCCATGAAAACCTCTAATTTTACAGTCATCAGCATGTTCATATCCTTACAAAATACTTACCTAGGATCTATTTTAATATTAAACCTATTACTTCCTTAATGATTGCTTTCCAAGAGGTGAGCTATATACGCTCACACTAACCTTTGTATCCCCGACAGGACACCACTCCACACAGGTCACCTCTGCCGAATGACCCACGAGGCTTGCAACTGGTCTCTCGGAACCCTGTGTGTTCCATATGTAAGCACGATCATCACTGGAACCACTGGCCAGGTACAGACCATCAGGACTGAGACATGACTTAACATAGAACGTGGAGTTCTGGTGGCCAATGAATGTTGCAACTAGACACCAAAAAATTATTTACTTTCTTTATGCTTTTCATAAATAAATATATTTGGTTCTATTTAATAATGCATATCAACTGTGCCAGTTGTATAGTTTTAAATAGTATAACGAACATAGCTCATGAACGGGTAATGATATGAAAGCTGTTGAAGAGTTATTTAGGTACTCAGGAAAACCGATAAAACTCAGTCAAGAAAGAAATGGTAAAGGCCCTCCAAATATGGAATAAAAATAATCACTAAACTGCAGAATTTAATATCACCAATGAACAGAATGAAGATGGCTGGTTATACCATTAGACGTCCTACACTTCTACAATGAGGAGAATATCTACACCAAAAGAGATTAAATAATTAGAAAATGGAGAAAATTACATAATGAGTTTCATACTTCATATATATCACTTATCCCTTTAAGGAGTAATATTCAGAGAGCCTGAAACCAATATGTATGTAAAATTTTAACACATCCTAGACTTCAACGTTCAATAGATCTGTTGATTTTTAATGGAAAGACTGAATATATATCTTAAGTGAATTCACACTTTGATGTCACAAATGTATACATACTCATTCCACTTTACATTTTAGTTTTATAAAAGTAATAAATGGCATGTCAATAATGCAAGGAACTAATTCTATTGTCTTTTTTAAGATTCAGTGTTCTTTTAGTCAAATGCATATACAAAATACTTGAAATACCATAAACTTTTATAACTGACCACAAATCCCAGAAATTTTGCTCAAAAATGTGTATATTTATAACTGTAGTTACTTCTTTATTATACTACAAATTGCCAAGCAGCAGAGTACATTGTACTTAAAATGGCCATGGCATGGTGTTAATAAAATCTGATACACAACTCACCAGGCTTGGTTTCATACGTTGCCACATTGTAACAATATATCACGCTGTCCATGCAGCTTGCATATAACCTGAGCTTCCCACGATCTAGCACCAGATTTGTGAAGCCGTTCCAAGATGTGCTCCCAGGATATGGCATTGTGTGACAGGGTAAAGGCTCTCTCTTGTACGCTGAGTAGTTCTTCCGCAGGTCCCATACTTTGATGAGCCTATAACCAAAAATACCAGAGGGTAATAACCTTGATAAAGTTGAAGCTAATACAGATTCACTTTAACATACTGTATAAGAATATCCTCAAGTAGTTTTTCAGTAGGGCAATAACTTTCAGATATGGACACAAATGTCAATTATCACAAAATCCCACCAGTGGACCCCATTGTTAAGTGCAGTTCACATACCCACCACCCATTCTTGTTCCTCCAAGATCATGTTCAATATTATACTCCCATCAATGCTTAAGTATCCTGATTGGGAAGTTCTAGTGAACATGGGTGACTGAATTACTCTATTTTATGTATAATTATGATTTTTCAGTTGCATATGTTACAGTGTCAAATGATGAATTGGGAAGTATGTGGTAGGAAGTGGTATTTGCTTTCTTAAAACTAACATTATACCAACATTTGCCTCAAAAGACTGAGGAAAA